GAAAAAATGTCACCGTAATGGAAATTTTGAAAAGAAAGCTAAATATTTTCAAAGAGTAAATATGTCATATATGTGGCATTTTCAGAGAAATGTGACATTTTTTACACAAGATAACATTTTTTCCTGACGATCGGAGGTGGTGATGCTGGGCGATGGAAGATGCGGAGGTAGTGGCCTACATATTTTTTTAATATTTTTAAGGTATTTTATTTTATTTTTTAAATTTGTTTAAGTTTTTTAAAATAATTTTTAATTTTTTTTAGATTTTAATTGTATTTTATTTTTTCCCGATTTTTTGTTAATTTATAAATATTTTTACATTTTTATTTTTTTATTATAAATAAAACTATGATTTTTTTATTAATAAATAAATCTATTAGAAATTATAGGTTGGGGGAAGGATAGAAAGACGAGACATACATTAATCCTATTTTGAGAATAAAAGGAGTATAATCCTAATGTGGAATTGTGGAGTACTTTTAGTCTCATTTAGGGCTAATAGCCGATAAAAATATGATTTATAAGGTGATGATAAAATTGAAAAATTAGGGATGCAACTATTGATTTATTGTGTCATTATAAATTATAGTGAGTTGTATATTGGTTGGTGTCATTGTGACCATCAAAATCTTTTTTCAATTAAGTTTCAACAATTAAAAAACTTTAAAAACATTCTAGCGATCACTAAGACACTAAGGGTATGTTTGCAAAAAAAATATAAAAAAAAAGTGATTTTCATCTTTTGATTTAAAAAACTTGAAAATTGTGTTTTCAAGTGACAATTGCTTAAATTAAACACGTAAAAGTTAAAAACTAGAATATGCGTTTTACTTTTTCTGTTACGCAAAAGGACATAGTTTACCAAACACTACCAATTTTTATTTTTCAAAATCATTTTTTTCTCAATCACTACTAAATTTTGCTACCTATTAATCACTTTTTCAGTTTTTCCAAAATAACTTTAAAAAATGAATTTTTTAAAGCAAAATCATTTAGAAAGACTCCCTAAATACAGATTTAAGCGGGGGAAATCTTTTTGCTACTACGTAGTACTCGTATTTAGTTATTTACGAGTATCGATTAGGAAAGGGTTTTCATTCATACATACACCGAAGGAAGGTAACTGGGCTGCACATTTTCTTGCATTGGGCCATTCTCAGGAGGATATTAATTTTTGCAGCCCAATTCAAACCTTCTTCCGATTAAAGCCAGACGGGCTTATTGGATGGACTATTTTGGGATACCTTCTCTTAGATTTGAATTTTGTATGGGTGTATTTTGATTGGGTAAGGTCTAGCCCCCTTGCCAATCTGTTTTGTTTATTCTTTCTTATCGTTTTTATTCTATTTTTTGAGAAGGAATGCATTCTCTGAAGGGGTTTTGGTCTAGTCCTCCCTCGTCTGTTATTTTTATTTTTATATCAATAAAATCCAACAAATGTTCTTCGTCATTTGTCCCTCTGATTTTGATGGTTTGTCTAGAATTCTTCTCTCACTCTTTTTGGTACGTAGTTCGTTATGAACTGACAACCGAGTATCAGAAACACCAGAACGGAAATGGTGTTATCGAGCTCGCTCTTCCTCGCCGCCGTTATAGTCTGCTGCATTTCTTCTTCCATCACCTTTGCCCAAATGGACACCTCTCCACCGCTGCAGCGGCCGCAATATCAACTGCTAATGGGCGCCCTACAGGCTATCTCCGACTCCGGCTACGTCGCCATGTCTCTCACTATTGAGCTTATATATTGCGAAAGCTCTCGTCAACTCCGCCTCCAACGCAACCACCGCAACCACCCCCAGTCTCACAATCTTCTCTCCACCAGACTCGGACTTTGAAGCGCTCGGCCAGCCTTCACTCCGCCAGCTCCTCCTTCAGTTCTCCCCTCTCGCGCTCTCTATTTCAGCTCTCGGTTCCCAATCTGTAGGCTCTGAAATCCCCAATCTATCTCCATCCAGCTCCCTCTACATCAGTTGTTCCTCTGACGACTCTCGTCAGGTCTCCATCGACGGCGTCAACGTGTCCCGCTGGCCAATATTCGACGATGGCGGCTCTGTAATCGTGTACGCAGTCGATAATTTCTCCCCCTCGAATTTCTCGCCGCCAGTGCCGGCTACTTCGAACCCTACATTAGTCCAAATCTCTGACTGCAAATTGCGCTCGTCTTCTCTGCTACACGAGGCCTCCATGACACTGGAATCGAGGGGGTATTCAACAATGGCGTCATTTCTGGATTTACAGTTGTTCGGATTCGCAACCACTACGCCTATGAAATTGACTGTGCTCGCTCCGGCAGATGAGGCACTGGTTCAGTATACGGGCAACATAATGGCGTATCAGTCGGTGTTGATCGCGCATATGCTTCCTTGCGTTGTTCGTTGGTCCGATCTGAAAGAGACCGGGCAGAAAAGCGGAGCGGCATTCATGGACTACGCGAACGGGTTTAGCATGAATGTGTCCAGCGGAAATGACAATGTTTACGTGAACGGGGTTCGGATTTCAGTTCCAGATATGTATAGCAATGTCTGGATTGTGATTCATGGACTGAATGAGATGATTCCTCTGGAAGATGAGTTAGAATCGAGAAGAGAATCCAATTTCGGCGGAGGGCGTTACAGGGAGGTGTCTGCACCTCATCGCAATGAGTTTTGATCGAGTTTCTGTAAGGTTTAATTTCTTCTTCTGATTGTACCAAAGTTAGTGTTACTTCTCATTGTCTTGGTGAAAATTTGAAAACTTCAGTTTATGAGGTTAGTACATTACACAGCTTTTCAACATTTTTTTATATTGATTATGACGTTTTCATTATGGGGTTCAATAATCCTATTTCTTAGACCTCATTTTACACGTTCGGTCAAATTTTCTATATAAAATTTGACCGACGTGTAAAATGTTGCGTACAAATGTTGTGTATAAATGGCATTAGTGTATGAGGTTACTCAATTAGAAACTTCCATATTAAAATGGAATTCAACTCATTTGCTTACATTTTTTTTATTAACTAGTACTTTTGCTCTCCAAAGAATTTAATGAGCTCTATTTCAGAAGGAAACAAATTAAAGATGCTCTTATTTATTATTCACACGACCATGGTTGAATTTATTTTAGCGAGCCTGATCACTGCATACCACACTACCGCACCTTAACAAATTAGAATTATATGATATTATATTATTTTGTTATATTTAAAATTAATTCGTATCAAATAAGTATCTGACGAGCACTTTGTCGTGGTGTGCACTCAAAATAAATATTAATACAATGATTATACGTAGTATAACGAAGTAAGATTCGTATCCACAGAGAAAGAAATAATTATCTTTTATGTAACTAGTAACAAGGGGGGTTTTAGGTGTGTTTGATCTTAATTAATTAAATATGAAAATGAACGACTTATATCTCCAATTCATCGAGAGTAGTTATTAATAACGAGACGCGTTCATTAATAAAACTTACTACCAAGTAAATATAGAACATGCTCCGTATATTAACCCGATAGAAACAATAAACTTAAGATGAAAACGATTGAGATTGATAACCTCAATACAAGCGGTTTATTGATTTACGAACGGCGCAGGAGAAGAAGATCGATGATTTTGGAGGCTGTGTCTACGAACAGGAGAGCTATAAGAAAAGCAAGGGCAATTTGGACATTGAAGAAATGGCGGAAACTTAAACTAGGAGCAGATGACTCCTATAATGGGAAAAAAAGATGTTATGTCCTACTTGGCTTTTTATCTATGTTTTAGTCCCATTTTGGGCAATTTCTTATCAAAATATAAAGAAAGTGATTAACTAAACTGAGCTTAGAAGTGTATTTATAGGTGTTTGGAGGTGGCAGGGTCATTTACCCGACCGGGTTTTTTATTTACCCAGTCGGGTAAATGAGTAATTGCCCGAAATCTTCATTAGTCACATAATACCCGATCGGGTTAAAGACAAACTTGCCATTCTTCGCTCTGCACGTTTAATTGCCTCCAAATAAGATTTGATCTTCGGGTCAAATCAAACCCGATCGGGTATATGCTTTACCCGGCCGGGTTTTTGACTATTTTCCCAAATTTTCACTGTGTCTTGTTTCCTTGCACTTTCCTTGACCTTCCAAGGATCCTTTTGATGATCTTTGTCTGGTTTAAGCTCAAAATAGTTCTAATCTAAACAAATTATAAACAACTAGGAAAAATAAAGTAGTACACCAAAAGTATGTAATTTTCTAAACAACAATAAATAAAACTAGTTAAAATTACAAACATAAACAATAACAATTCTATACTATCAGTATCTCATTGGATCTTTGACACGATTTAAGAAATAGTATAGACAGCCGAGGACGCATGATTCCCCAGTAGGAGGGGCGACAATACAAAAATACATACAAATACATATATATTAAAAATTTCAGGGTAAATATACCTAGGAAAAATAATTGGAGGGGCGGCGACCCCTATTTGCCCCTCTATGGGTCTGCCGTTGATTATAGGTTAATTGTATACTTACAAAAATAAAGATTGTAGTACTATAATAGACTATTACTTCAATTAATTTAGGATGACTTTTTAAAAAGGGAATATATGACAATTAACTTAATACAACAGGGAAAAAAATATAGGAAAGTTATTTTGATACGAATGAAGTATACTTAAGTAAAAATTAAGATTATTTTGATAACAAGTTAACAACTATGACACTAATTATAATTATTAGTATTAATCATTACTATTGTGCGCACTAATGATTATTCTCTTATGAGTTAGAGTCACGCATAAAAATGAGTAGGGTAATGAGGTACATGAATGGGTAGGATAGGCAGTGGGCAGGTGGTAGGGGTGGGCCATCACGTATTATATACTGGTGCATACATGAATGATTGTGTATCTATATATGTATACAATTATTTTGATATTTTAATGTTAAATGGTACTCCCTATTTCTTTAAAACTTTGTCATGTTTGACCGACACGAAAATTAATAAAGTAAAAACTGTGTGGTTGAATTTTGTGCAGAGGAGAGAGAATTAACTGGAATCACAAATTCCTTACTTAAATGGGAAAGTGTCAAAGTTAGTGGAACATTGAAAAAAGGAAAGTTGACAAAATTTTAAGAGATGGAGGTAGTATTTTAAATCCCGTGAAAGAGTTAATATTACTGTTTATTTTATAGTCAAAGTTTTAAGTGTCACTTATTAAAGCCGACGTTGAAGTAAATGCCTATGTACTTGCTCCCAGGAAAAAAGCCAAATGATGTACTGCCATATACATTGCGCACTCTTCTATCCTTCGACTAATTTTGTCTGTATCATCATCTAAATGGGTCTCCATGGTTGTCTTTCCCGCCTAGTTAAAAACTTCCCAAGCTCCCGAATTTATCCAATGAATCCCTTTCCCAGTCTCCGTAACGGCAACCACCGTCTACTTGGAGCACAATGCAACCGCACTATTCACACATTTGACCTGTCGTTCCATGAACAACCACTCAACCTCCATCCTGGCAACCAAAATCCAGGTTCCAAAGTTGCCAAAACCATTGATGAAACGGAAAAGATCTGCAAGCTAGCACTAAACCATCGCACATCGCAGACAGAGTTTTACCGTAACCTGAACTCTGCCTCTGTGGTTCCGTCTCCGGCATTGGTCACTGATGTTCTCAAAAAGCTCAGCAACTCCGGCGTTCTTGCGTTTTGGTTCTTCCGGTGGGCCGAGAAGAAGAGCGGGTTCCAGCATACTGCTGAGAGCTACAATTCTTTGATCGAAGCTCTGGGTAAGATCAGACAGTTCGCGCTGTTATGGAGATTGGTTGATGAAATGAAGAAGAAAAGGCTGGTATCAAAAGACACATTTGCCCTAATATCCAGGAGATACGCGAGGGCTAGGCGGGTGAAGGATGCCATAAACGCGTTTGAGAAGATGGGGATGTATGGGATGAAGGCTGATCTACAGGACTTCAACAGATTGTTAGACACTCTGTGCAAATCTAGGGCTGTCGGGACTGCACACCAGGTGTTCGACGAATGGAAGCACAGAAGGTTCAAACCAGATGTTAAAACCTACACCATACTCCTAGAAGGGTTCGGTGAAGAAAGGAACATGCTGATGTTGAATGAAGTGTACCGTGAAATGTGTGGTGCTGGCTTTGAGCCAGATGCTGTGAGCTATGGGATCATCATCCATGCTCACTGCAAGGGTAGGGAGTACAATAAGGCTGTGGAGATGTTTCATGAAATGCAAAGGAGGAACGTCGAACCAACGCCTCATATTTATTGCACCCTGATCAACGGGCTGGGATCAGCAAAGATGTTGACAGAAGCTCTCGATTTTTTTAACATATGCAAGAGTAGTGGCTGTGTGCTTGAGTTGGCTACATTGAATGCTGTGGTTGGAGCTTATTGTCATTCGTCGCGAATGGATGATGCATATAGGACAATTGATGAGATGAGAAGAAGTGGGATCGGCCCAAATGCTCGAACATATGATATAATTCTTCGTCATCTGATAAAGGCACAACGGACAGAAGACGCTTACTCAGTTTTCCAGAAAATGGAAAAGGATCCCGTTTGTGAGCCCACTGTGAGTACGTACGAGGCTATAGTGAGGATGTTCTGTTCCAAGGATCGCATAGATATGGCTTTGAGAACGTGGGATAAGATGAAGGGTAGAGGGGTGCTTCCAACTATGCATATGTTCTCAACGCTAATCAACAGCCTCTGCCATGAGAATAAGTTGAACTGTGCCTGCAAATACTTTCAAGAAATGGTTGATTTGGGGATTAGGCCTCCAAGGGCGTTGTTCAGTAATCTGAAACACGCTCTCCTGGAAGACGGACAAAAAGATACAGTTATTGCACTGGCTGAGAAAATAGAGACACTGAGGAAAACTCCAATGGTCGGATAAATAGTTATTCTTTTCTTTTAAGTTATTATATTTAATAGGAACAACACAAGAGTGGTATTCTTTCGGTCTGGGATCTTCTGAGGCTCTAGAAACTATTCTGGATATAGTTTCTCATTATTATTTTTGTGTAAGTATTTTTTTTGTATGTGGTGAAAGACGTATAAACACTATAAGCGTATTAATTATTTTCTAAATGTTGTAATATTATTTTTAAAGTATTTAAAAAATCATATAATTTTGAAAAAATTAAAGTATTCCCGAGCCGGGCAATCCGATAGACTACCTGACCCGCTCTTATGGGCGGGTATGGAAATAGGGTTAGACCCGTTTTTGCGGGCCGGACCGGGCCTGCCCCACACATGATGGACAGAAAAATTATAAAAAGTCCGGCCTGAGCCCGGCCCGAACCCGTTTTTGTACAGGTCTAATATCAGGCATGGACCCGATCTGGTCCCAGAGATCCCAAACTGGGTATGTAGACCAGCCCATTTGGTCCCGATTATGACAAAAAAATGGAAAAGAAAATGATCTTTGGGGACTCAAAAAGTGGTGCTTTATGGATTTTCATTTTTTCACAGAAGTCATTACCATCTTGAAAGGAAAGGTTCCGAAGGTGTAATCGTGGCTCAGCCCTCGGGTAAAAGAAAATTGATGAACCCAAGCTGACCTATAAATAGCGAACCGATTAAAAACATAAACGCTAAACTCGCGAACACCTCTAGTTAGTTGTAACAAGGATTTCATTAGTATAATAGTTTAGTCCTTTAGACCCTGTTGCAGTTAGAATTTAGAAATAGTTTTTCTCTTAACTTCAACTTCCAAGACTAACCTATAATAATTTAGTCCTTTAGACCCTCTTGCAGTTACAATACATGCTGTGAACCGGAACCGGCCCAGGTGGCCGGCGGGTCCGGGTCGAGCCTGGCCGGGCCTCGGGCCACTTCCTTTTTTTTTAATTTTCTAATTAATCCCCTAATCCCCCCCCCCCCTCACCCCCACCCCCACCCCCCAAACCACCCCAAATGGCCCAAAACACCCAGCCCAACCCAGAAAAATAAAAAAATTGAAAAAACAAAAAAAGACCCTGAAGGCCGGGCCGGTTCATCATTTGAGGGACCCGAGCCCGCACCGTAAAACCACCGGGCCGGGCCTACCCGGACCGGTCCTTGGCCGGGCCGGAACAGTACCGGTCCCGGACCGGTTCCAGGTCAGGCCACCCGGCCCGAGTCCACCTCTACTTCAAATATGGAACAATGAACGCAATTAAGCATGCCACTTTCAACGTTCTTATGAATTCTGACCATTAAATGGACTTGATAAAAAATGAAAGTTGTTCATAGACATACATCAAACCTGTTCAAAAAAAAAACATACATTAAACATTTTCCGATATATTCTTTATTTCCTTACATCTTAGGACTCATACATAAGAATAGACCTATCAAAGATCTCGTCTCTTACATCTAACCCTATGCCTTAAGGGCTACCTTTTATACAACTTAATCTGAGTGCCCTCCTACACACACTCCTGTTTCATCAATTACACGGTATCTCATCTCTTCTCACCACACAAGTATGTAGCAGCTTGCAAAGCAAAATATGTCAAAATGATATCGGCACCAGCCCGTCGAAGGCACATTAGTGACTCCAGTATGACTTTTTCTTCATCAATCATTTTGAGAGCTCCACCCGCCTTAATCATGGCGTACTCACCAGAAACCTGTAGAAAGGCAAAGAAATACACAACCATCCAAGAAAGCACATAACACATTGTACACTTTGTCCTTGACATTTCACACCGCAATGACATCAAAGAGACAGAGATTCACAATAGGAATTGAAATTCATTTTTCCCGATCAAATGCACAGATATATGTAATGTGGCATTATAATACGAAGTATGTAGCTTTGGCATCAAAACATTGAAGCAAATGTTCACCTTTTTTTTAACTTTGGATGACGTTCCACGGTGTTAATATAATCCGAGGGTTTATACAAATGTTTTCTCATATCCAACCTCCTCACAATGACCTAATTCCCAAACTATAAAAGTATACTTGGTCCCATAAATTAGCACCTATATTTTTGGGGTTCAGATGTGGCCACATGTTCCTTATTTCTTATAAAGAATCTCCATTTTGAAAGGAATAACTGGAACCCCTCATGTAATTAATCCATTGCCTTGAACTAAAAAGGCAGAGAAGATAATCTTACAATTTCCATAGATTCATCTATCATTTAAAATAGATTATTTTATCAGCATAGGTATGCAAGTAATATTGAATGTTGAATGTTTACAACACCTGATATGCAGCTATGGGTAAACGAGATCTATCCCGAAGAAGCCTGATAATATCCAAGTAAGGTAGACCTGGTTTGACCTGTTTATAAAAGGAAAAACTTAATAAGGGAAGAGTAATTAACTACTCCCTTTGCCCCAATATATAAAGAAGTCAGTTACTTGTAGCTCTCCTTTTTATAGTAAAAATAGATACATTATAAACTATCTAATATGGACTTGTGGAAGACACGAGGTGACTAAATGCCATTAGAAGACTACCAGGAGTATATCAGCCCCTTCAGACTCATCTTCATGCATCTCAACCAATGCTTCCCTGAAATTTGCTGGATTCATCTGATAACTTAAAAAAGAAACCACAAAAAAATCTGAATACCGATTACTCAAAAGTAATGTATTAAATTAAAAGAAATCCATATAAGTCAACTAAGTACGTTTTTTTGTCTCCAAAACGTGGATTGGAGTCCAGTGCTTCTCGGAAAGGACCGTAAAAGGCACTTGCATACCTGCGGTAGAGCTCAAGTCAACCAGATTGGTACGATTGTACATTACATAATGACTAATAGAATAAGTAAATCAACTGAAAAATGCCTCACTGTGCTTAATGTACATTTGCTATAAATGCAGCATTTCACATTGTGTATAATTAATAATGTGCCTTACGCCTCATTATTTTTAGGTGAACTCTACACAAAGTTTTGCTAAAAGCCTAAAACTTATTCAATGAAAAGGTTACGGATTCCTTCTCAGTAAGGTGGAAGTCTTAGATTCTATCAATGGCGTTCCAACTCTCTATTTTAAGGCATCAGTGCCTGAGGCGTTTTTTTCTTCATAAGGAAAACTCAGGCACAAGCTCCTTCACTCTTTAAGGTTATCTTCATATGTTGCAACATTTTCTAAGCAGGGCTGTCATATATAATGGTCCCTAAGCAGTATTCCATTTTTACTGCAGAAGTTGAGCTTCTCATAGATATCACAATCACTTTTCAATGATAAGATAGTTTCATTGAGCAATCACTTTGCTGTGTAGGACATTATAGACACATCATTAAATCCTTCAGCATCAAGAGCAGCTCGAATTGCTCCAACACGACCATCCATCATGTCACTAGGACTGACAACATCAGCTCCTGCTCTAGCCTGATGTAGAGAGAAAAGAAAGAACAGGTTACACGCAAATGGCTTGACCCAAAATGTATGCAAAATATACAGATGCATGCACATTGCTAGAACCCAAGGATATACAAAATAAATATTTTCATAATGAGATAACATAGTATGTTCATAGACTGAACCACACATAAAAGTGAAGTTTTAAATTACTTGGCTAACTGCCTGCTTGCACAACTGGTGCACAGTTTCATCATTCATTATAACTCCTGCACAATATTGAAGTTGTCATAATAGTTAATTCATCAGCACCATGGAAAAACGATCAAAATATAGAGAGAGAAAATTAGAACACCACCACCCAAGCCTTAGTCCTAAAAAAAGTTTGGAGTCGGCTAAAGATAAGCTAAATATAATATACAAGTAAAGACACGATAAAGATAAAAAGATAAGATAAAAAGGATAAGATAAAAAAATAAAAAGATAATGAACATAAAAAAGATAAAAGAAGATAAAAAGATGAAATGGGATCAATCCTCCCCACGAATATTCTCCTTTCGCTTCGCTCTTTCCAAAGTCAGACCCTCATAATGTACAACAACAACACTCAAGCCTTATTCCCAATAGATTTTGGGGTCGGCTAACATGAACCGATCCATGATATCAGAGCCAAAAAGAGAAGAAAGAGAAGAAAAATCAAAAGATAAAGTAAGATAAAATGGATAAGATAAGGATAAATATAAGATAAAAATAACATAAAAACATAAGAAAGATAAAAGATAAAACAACACGACAAAGATAAAAATAACATAAGAACATAGAAAGATAAAGAAGATAAAAATAACATAAAACATAGAAAAATAACTCATACTCTCAAAAGTATGATTTAAAAAATGTTAAGTGCATTATTTCTACATAAAAACAAGTTAGCTAACTTTCTACATTTCCATTAATGTGGAGTATACCCTTACCATCCTCCCTAACAATACCATCATGCCCATCAGAGGAATATGGATCTAAAGCGACATCAGTGTAGATAACCTGTTGAACGTCACATAAATATTAGAAAATGTTGCTCTTTGAGACAAATGCAACATATTCTTTGACATACAAGATCAGGAAACTTGTCTTTAAGCAATCTTATAGATCGAGGGATTAATCCATTATCATTGTAGGCCTCCTCAGCTATCGAAGTCTGAAAGAGAAATTAAGCAGTAATACAGTTTCAAATGTCAAGTTAACGACTCTTATATTCAGAACATAATGCATAAGAGAGCACCTTCAAAGCATTTGGAATTTTTGGGAAGAGCACTATACTGTTAACACCTACATCTCTGGCCTTTGAGACCTGTATCATGCAAATAGACTAATATTAAAAAATACTAGTTAAGTATGAACCTAATCCAGCTACAGATTTGTCGCAGCCAAATGGTATTGTTCGGTTTTGTTTGGTTTATTTGTCAGAGCCAAGTTTAGATCATTTAAAACTTATTTTTTTCTTTAAGAGGTCATCACCATCCCAAATATTTTGGAGGATGCAGCATGATATTTAATTTTTTAAAATTAGTTAACACCAAGTATCATTGTCATTAAGTAGAGAAGAAAATACCATTCATGAATAAATACAAAAATGTAAGATTTGAACATGATATGCACATCTAAATAAGTAATACCTCTCTCCCATTTTATGTGCCTTGTTTTGGTTTGGCACAATTATTAATTATGTGGTTGGAAAAGTAAAAGTTGTGATTGAGATTTATTTGAGTATAATGAAGTGAAGTGTTGTAGACCACATATTTCTTTTCAAAAAAGGAAATGTGACACTTATTTTGGGACAACCCAAAAAGGATAGTAAGACATGTAAAATGGGACGGAGGGAGTACAATTTTAAGACACTGCAGCACATTATTCTCGTTTCTAATGCTGAGTAAGACAATCAATCTTAAGTTGGTGAAAAGAAAATTTATGTACAGATAGAGCAAGTGTGAAACTCACTCATAACAAAAACAACCGCTTTGCGTCATAAGTGGTAGTTGGTGACAAGAAAATTAATGTACAGATAGAGTAAGTGTGACCCTCATAACAAAAACAACCGCTTTCCCTTATAAGTCATAAGTGCTATAGCAAAAGCAGTTTATTTCCTTGACTTTTGAAGTATGTACTTTTCTACTGTGATTATTAAAATATAGTGATATACAGGAAACGGCCATTATTTGGGTACTTCCCGTTTACTCCCTCGGTTCCATATTGGTGTTGTGAGTTTCCTATTTGAGTTCTTCCAAATTAGCGTTCTCATTTCCTATTTTGGGAAGGTTTCACTTATGAAAATATTACTCCGTATTTTCTTTCTTTTACACTGTCTCTCTTCTCTATATCCTACCACTTTGTGCCAAATGAAATGGAAACATTAATATGGGACAGAGAAGGTACTTTATAATTGTGTTAGTGACTAGAGGAGGTGGAATATTGAGTACTCCCTCCGTATCAAAATAATCGTCTCATTTGCTTTTTCACGTAGTTTAAGATAGATCTTGTAGACTTTACAAAAAGTAAGAGGTTTTTGGTACTGCAGCAATAATTGCTTTTAGAGTGAATTTCTTTCCAAAAAGGGAAATGCGACAATTAATTTGATACATCCCAAAATGGAAACTGGGACAGTTACTTTGTACGGAGGGAGTATAATACAATGTTGTTTTGGTGAAAAAGAAAGTTTACCTCTTCAACAAGTCCATGCCTCCACCCAAGCCTAAAACATCCTGGCATAGCCCTGATCGGCGTGTCTTCTTCACCTGTAAATCATGTAATACGGTAAACATGTATAAGATGTCCACACACATCTTAACATTGTACACACAAACAAGACAGATTTACACATGGGGTCACTCACCCTCATGAATGAAAAGAGGATACACAAAATTTGCAGGGCTCAAAGTTGTTTCTTGGAGAGCAGCCCTCATTGCTGGTGACTTACGATTGCGACGTGGGCGCCTACTGAGTGGCTGTTTCAAGAATGACAAAAAACATGAATACACAAGCAACTTGAAACAGCAAATTCTACTTAATAAGTTATAACTTCAATCTACGTTCTTTAACAATCGAATTGAGGCAATATGTGAATCCATAAAATGTGGAGTATAAGCTTGAATTGATATCTTTCCTGCTTTTCTTAAGTTCAGGTCATCACAATCACGACTCTAGAATTTGTTGTTTTATTTCATACTCATAGTCACAAGGTTCGCGGTACGGTTCGATACGGGAACGAGGAACGGGAACGCGGTTCGCTAGATCTAGCGTATCCGATTCGGAGGGGGTAGGTTCATTTCGGTACGCGTTTGGTACGATGTACCATATGTTCGGTACGTTGTACCTAATTTTTTGGTACTATAATAAAAATACAAAACTGAATTATAAAATACAGATTTCAGCATTGAACAAAAACGGATTTCATAACATAAATTCATAACATTAATCAAAAGCAAAAACATTAATATTCAAGAAAGATTTCAAGCAAAACAGAACAATAGTACTACAATCATTGATTTAAAGTTCAAACAAGAAAAGTACATGACTAATCAACTCGAGGTCTCTTTCCTTTCCCCTTGTCCACGTCTTCATCCTCTAGATTCTCCCAAGCCATATCATCGAGTCTTGAACTTGAGCCTTCTATGTATGTGCTCTCGGGATTGATGTCCCAATATTTGTGTGGACCGGCTTTATATGATTCTGAAAACCGTGACTGGAGTCGAATGTTGGAGTGAATGAAAACCAATTTGTCGGCTCTTTTGCAATTCAACCGGTTTCTCTTCACACTATGAATGTAGGAATATGTACTCCAATTTCTTTCGGCCGAAGAGCTACTAATCGGTTGTGAAAGCACCTTCTTTGCTACTTCGGCTAATTCTGGTGTTTCAGCTCCATAGGTTTACCACCAATCAATTGCATCCATTGTCACGGAATCCGCTTGTGTTGCCACCATTGAATAGATCCCTTTCTTCATATGGAATGTAGCAAATTGCTCTCGTAATAGCCTTTCCTCTTCCGGACTTTCTGCAATTCTCTTAAAGCTTCCATTACACCAAGCACAACCTCTTTATCTTGATTCGGTGCCTTTCTTGCCATACCACCCGGAGCCAATTTTTCAAGATAGAATTTATCGTAAAACCTTGGGTTTAATGCAAACCCCAAACAGTGAAGTGGGATTGTCATCTTCTCCCATCTAGCTACAATTATTTTCTCAATATCCAGGTAATAGCAAGAATATACATTATCCACCATGATGTCCTTTATTTCCCCCAACATATTATCCATCCTTTCATATATTTCACCCATTTTTGGGCCATCACCGTCACAAAATTTTATAAGTAGAAAAATCGGCTTAGTAATTGTCAAAACATTCCTATCATCATCCCAAAAATCATCACTCTTAATAGTTTCAGCAACATTAGTCCCATTAATTCTTGCATTTTCATCTCCACTTCTCACCCATTCCCTCCAAGAATTGCAAAAAATAGTTTAGGCAAGAGCCTCCTTACAATCCATCACCCTTTTTAACAAAATGTAATGAGATGCAAACCGGGTTTTAGCAACCTTTAACAACTCCAACCTTGAGTTTTCACGAAAGATGGCTACAGCATGGGTATGGTTAATAAAATACTTAACAATTGTCTTGCCTCTTCTCTGCGTATTTTGTAACCATTGGAGTTCTTTTGCCATGTCTTTGAAAATTAAATTCAAAGTATGCACGCAACAAGGAGACCAAAAAATATGTTTATGTACCTTCTCGATCTCTCTTCCGGCCGTTTTACAATTAGCCGCATTATCCGTGACTACTTGCAGCACATTACTTGGTCCAACCGTGTCAATAGCTCCAAGAAGAAACTTAGAAATCTCAACTCCAGATTTCTCAACTCCGGAAAAATCTTCCGCATACATGAACATAGCACCACGAGAGTTCACCGCTAAAACATTGATAAGTGGCCTATGCTTCACGTTAGACCACCCATCTGAGACAATTGACACTCCTTGTGTGTACCACGTGTCTTTCACTTGGGTTAGGTCTTTCTCAACATCCCTAACACATTCATCGAGCAATACAATTCTTGCCTTTTCACTAGAAGGGGACTTGTATCCTTCCGGTGCCTTTTTTATAGCATTAACCATTTCAATAAACTGAGGGTTGCGTAAGACATTGAATGGAATGTCATTTGCACACAAACTCTAACGATCTTCAAATCAACCGCGTTTCTCTCTAATAGCCCGAAAGATTCTTCCAAGCGCTTCTTCGAGGATACATTTCGGGACTATAGAGAATTCTTCAAGGATTTTGCAACCTCACCAACTTCTGCCTCCTTTACTTTGTTCCAAAGCCTTTCATATTGCTGCCTATCTTTAAGGATTGCTGGACACCTTCTGATCTCTGCCTTTTTCCCAGCAGACGCTCCAAAGAAGTGAACATGAATTCTTGTATAAGAACTTGTATACTTCACTTTGCAATGTTTGCAAACCCACTGTTTTGCCCCACCTGCGTTTTTACTTTCACCACTGCCAATAAAAGTTACTTCGTCAAGCAATGGTTTGTTTGCATTAGTTGCAGCAACATCCGTAGCTTGTTGAGTAACTTGAGTTTCTTGAATTTCAGTGTCACTATCATCAACATTAAAGGTTGTTGGAGACTTTGGTGTAGATGAAGACCCGAACACCATTTTCAGTTAAGAAAATAACCTCAAAGGGAGTAGACAATAGACTGAATAGAGTACGAGAAGAAGACTGTGTATATGCAATAGACATCTTCCCTCAATTTATAAGAGTTAAATTGATGGGAGTCTGGAACGCTGGGATGGGAGTACGAATAATTGGGGCCAGAAAACGAAGGGATGGGAGTCTGGAACGAGGAGACCTGCGCGACTCTGGATTCTGGAACGCTGGTTCAAATTTCAAAACGAGGGGCTGTATAATTTTAACGAGGCGTCTGAAACGAGGAGACCTGCGCGTCTCAAAGTAAAATACGACGATTCAGTTTCGTCCGACCTAACAGGTAGGGCTGCGGAAACGACGAGATCGCATTTAAATCACGATCGGAAACTCCTTCAGCAGCGATGGGGAACGACCTGGTTAGCGATGGGGAATGGCTTGGTTAGGCGATGGGGAACGATTTTGTGAGCGATCGGAAATGCGAACCGTACCGCGTTTGGAACGCTTTCGTACCGCGTTTGGGTACAGAGCGTTCGGAACGCAGTTCGCGGCTATTTCAGCGATTTATGTTTCTATGTTCATACTATCCCTTCAATTAATGAGAATTGAGAAGGATGTTAGATTCTTGTGCACAAACGAAGTGAAAGAACTCATTTTTAGGTGGTTATTTGTTTCCTTTGATACCCAGCATGTGTGACAGACTGACAGTTGAATAAAACCCCAGAATTGATGATCAAGTCATGAGCAATGATAGAAAACAAAAATTTCTTCCACGGTTACACATTCTCTTGTCCAGCATATTCCAAGAAAAGACATACTGAAACTGATGAGCACTCCGTTCATAATTAAAATAGACTGATAATGGTAACTATTAGAAAACGAACTCAGATGAAAAGTAAGAGATTTCAATTATATTGATTACAAGAGTCAATACAAGTATTTATAGTAGAATACAAGTAACTAACTCTAACAGCCTGTATAACAGCACTAACAGCCTAAGGTATATCTAGAAGGTTCCAAGCTATTTACAATAAACGTATGTAACATTATTTTATATTCCTAACATTCCCCCCTCAAACTTAGGGTGATTGATTTGGAAGGTCGGTCAATCACACTAAGTTTGGCTTTTAACTCAAGAAAAGAAGATGCAGATAAAGCCTTTGTCAGAATATCAGCAATTTGTTGGGAAGCAGGAATATGGAACACTTCAATCTGCTTGGACTGAACTTTCTCCCTCACAAAAAAGAGATCAATCTCCATGTGTTTTATCCTGGAGTGTAACACAGGGTTGTGGGCAAGCTGTACAGTGTTGAGGTTGTCACAGTAGATTTTTGGAGTAGAGAATGATACTTGAAGTTCTTTGAGTAGGAACTGAAGCCACAGGAGTTCAGCTGCAGTGTCTGCTAAACTTCTGTATTCAGCTTCTGCAGAGGATCTGGCCACTCTCAGTTGTTTCTTGGACCACCAGGAGATGATGTTTGACCCAAGAAAGATGCACGATCCAGAAGTAGACCTTCTGTCAACTAGGTCAGATGCCCAATCAGCATCACAGAAGGCAAAGATAGGTAAAGGCATACCTTTCAGAGGTAGAGGTTTAATGATGATGCCATGTGTTATAGTACCAGATAGATATCTGAGAATGTGTTTTACTGCCTTCCAGTGATCTTGTAGAGGTACTGCCATGAATTGACAGACCTTATTTACAGCATAACTAAGTTCTGGCCTTGTAAGAGTTGCATATTGCAGCATGCCAACAATGGATCTGTAAGTGGAGGGATCAGGAAGAGTAGCACTTCCTGTATTGGTTAGCTTGCAGTTACTAACCATGGGAGTTTTCACTCCTTTGGAATCAATCATGCCAGCTTGATGTAATAAATCTCTTATGTACTTGGTTTGAGAGAGATGAAGACTTCCATCAGGTAGCTTTTTGACTTCTATTCCTAGGAAGAAGTCAATGTCACCCAAGTGCTTGAGAGAAAAGGATGAGTGTAGTTTGTAAATAAGGTTTTGAATTGCTTTAGAATCATTGCCTATGACCAGAATGTCATCTACATATATTAATATGTAGATCTGAACTCCTTGAGACTTGAAGAATAGGAGAGATGGATCACATTTACTTTGCTGAAACCCTGCTGTATAAAGAACTGAAGTCAGTTTTTGAAACCAGGCCCTAGGAGCCTGCTTTAGGCCATATAATGACTTTGTGAAGTTTGCAGACTAAAGTGGTGTCCTGTGCCCGAAAGCCTGGGGGTTGGACCATGTAGACTTCTTCATCAAGTGTTCCATTTAGAAAGGCATTATTGACATCTAATTGCTGAATGGACCAATGATAAGAAACTGCCAAAGTGAGCAATATTCTGATAGTGATAGGTTTGATCACTGGAGAAAATGTTTCTTTGAAATCAAATCCAAACCTTTGATGGAAGCCTTTGGCCACTAATCTGGCCTTATATTTGTTAAGAGAACCATCAGGGTTTTCTTTAACTCGAAAGACCCATTTACAGCCTATAGCTTGTTTGTCAGGTGGTAAAGGAACTAAAGACCATGTTTGATTTTCTATCAAGGCATTATACTCATTTTTCATTGCAGAGAACCACTGAGGAGATGTGAGTGCTTGCTTCACTGACTGAGGCTCAACATGTGCTAACAGCAAGGTAGGATTAAGTCTAGGTTTAATAATTCCTGATTTTGATCTAGTTTGCATAGGATGAGTGTTAGTTATATGAACAGAATTTGAAATTGAGGAAGTAGAGTCAGATGATGAAGGAGAAGGTGGTTGATTAATAGCTTGTTGATGTAGGGATGGACTGGGAGTAGAGTTGTTGGAATTTGCTGAAGAATTATGAGTGGAAGGAGTAGATGAATGGCTTGCTGATTGATTGTGATTATTAGAAGAGATGGGTTGCAAGGCAGTGTGCTGGGAATTATTTGATGAGAAGTTATGAGACTGAGATTGAGATGAATTAGAACCAGAAGAAGGATTTGAGTCTAAAACAGTTAATATGGCAGAATCTGAGTTATGAATAGGTTTGGTTGTGGGAATAGAAGATTGGGATACAGATGAATAGGGAAAACTTGATTCATGAAAGATGACATCCTTTGAAATGTACACTCTGCCAGATTTTGAAAGACACTTATAGCCTTTATGCTGAGAAGAATATCCTAGGAATGTACATTCTTCTGAGTGAAAATCAAACTTGTGTTTATTGTAAGGTCTGAGAAAAGGATAACAAGTGCAACCAAAGACTTTAAGAAAAGAATAATCTGGAATAGATCCATAAAGTTTAAAATATGGGCTGGAATTGGCAATGGACTTAGATGGAGTTCTGTTGATAAGGTGCACAGAGGTTGCAAATGCAGCATCCCAGAACTTAAAAGGTAAAGAAGAATGGGCTAGGATTGAGAGACCTTTTTCAACAATAGTGCGATGTTTCCTTTCAACCAAACCATTTTGATGATGAGTGTGGGGACATATGATTCTGTGAGTGATTCCTTTGTCATTGAGGAAATTAGTGAAGGATCTAAATTCTCCTCCCCAGTCAGACTGTACAGATTTAATGGATATTGAAAATTGATTGAGAATCAAGTTGTAGAAATTTTGGAATGCTAGAAGAGCATCAGACTTATTTTTCAGGAAATATATCCATGTATATCTTGTAAAGCCATCAATAAAGGCTATATAATAGGAATATCCATCAAAAGATACAATGGGTGCTGGACCCCAAAGATCTGTGAATATTACTTCAAAGGGTTTATGATAAACAGTATTAGAAGGATGTGAAGGAAGTCTATGTGCCTTCCCAAGACAGCAAGCAGAACAGAAATCAACATCAATGTGATTTATAGAAGACACATTACAATGTTTAAGTACAGATTTAAGTGCCTCAAGATGAGGATGACCTAATCTGAGATGCCAAAGATTACATGAAATTGAAGAATTACATGACTGAGACTTATTACATGATGACAAACAAGACATTGGATGCACATATTTATTAGTTGACACTAAAGAGGCTGGAGGATGGACTGCAGCAGTTTGACATGAACCAAGAGGAATGAAAGGAAACTTGTATAAGCCATCTTCACCAAGTTTTCCATGCAACAAGACTTGTTTAGAAACCTGAGATTTGACATAGCAGTCATGAGGATAAAATTCAAAGAAGACATTATTGTCCTTGGCAAACTGACTAACCCTCAGTAGATTTTTGGTTATATGAGGAACATGAAGTATATTATTCACTAAGAATGATTGTGAGGAGTGAAAAGGTGAGAGAAAGGAAGAAAAACCTATAGACTTAATATCCAAACCTTGTCCATTGCCCATGAAGAGCTTGTCAGATGTGGCAATAGGCTCACTGTGCTGGAAATTTAGTGGATCTGCAGTAACATGGTGAGTTGCTCCTGAATCTGGAAACCAATGTTGATTAGATGGAATAGGACTAGGTACAGAATGATTAGCAGTGGCATAGTTTGCAATTGGTGGAGTATTAAAAGGTTGTTGATGTCCCCAGTTGAAGGTTTCAGGAGGTGGAGATGGATTGGAAGGCTGATGATTCCATGACTGATTGAGTTTTGATTGTATAGACTGAGATTGAAAGGTATATGGTTTAGGTTGATGAGTATAATGATTTGGAGGATAGTGAGATTGTGAGTTGGGATTCCAGTAGGATGGAGGTCCAGATGTTTGATTTGGATAATTAGGGTTTTGAGAAGAAGGATTAGGGTTTGGATTGGTATATGCAGGATTGTATCTATGGTAGCAAATCAAGGCATGGTGACCTGATTTTCCACAGACTTGACAAGTGATAGAATTACGTCCGGAGCGACCACCCCTGCCTCTGTAATAGCCACTGCGACCACGTCCGCGGTAAGGATTACCACTATTTGGATTATTATACTGAGAAACATTTGCAGAGGCATTTTCAACAGAAACAGAGATTTCAGATGAATTGTTTTGAGAGGAATTATCAACTTGAGCAACGTTGGCAGAAAATATGCTTTGCTGAGTAGTATCATGATGTTTCTTAAGTCTCATCTCTTTTGCTAGAAGCAAGGACTCAAGTTCAGTTAAGGTAACTGGTTCGAGAATGCTTCGAGAAGTTACAGAGGACACAAGAGATTCATAATCTTGCGGCAATCCTTCGAGTATGACATTGATATGATCTTTATTAGAGATCGGTTCACCTACGAGAATAAGATTGTTAACAATTGTCTGAATTCTAAGCAGGTACTCTGAGATGGATCGTTCCCCTTTTCCAGTGTTATAGAGTTCGGACTTGAGCTGCCTCACCCTAGCAACGATGTTAGCTTGGAAGAAATTGCGAATCGTGTTCCAGAGTTCATACGATCGCTGGCAATGAATAATACGAGCATGTAGAGTTTCAGATAGAGACGAAAGCATCCATGCGAACAGCATCTGATCCTGTGAATCCCAGTGAGTGTAAGCCTCATTCACAGTTTCATTTCCATCTTCATCTGTGATGAATTGCTCTGGAGTCTTCGAATTCTCTATAAACCAAACAAGTTTGTGCGCGCGAATCACAGACTCAACATGATGCTTCCACAAAAGATAGTTATTCGAGTCTAATTTGATTGGAAGAGGGTGATTGAACGCTACTGGAAAGGCGACACTTCCAGCAGCGGAGGTTGAAGATGAAGTTGAATCAGTTTCCGGCATGGTTGATCGAGCTAAAGCTCTGATACCATATTAGAAAACGAACTCAGATGAAAAGTAAGAGATTTCAATTATATTGATTACAAGAGTCAATACAAGTATTTATAGTAGAATACAAGTAACTAACTCTAACAGCCTGTATAACAGCACTAACAGCCTAAGGTATATCTAGAAGGTTCCAAGCTATTTACAATAAACGTATGTAACATTATTTTATATTCCTAACAGTAACCTATATGTTTGAGTGTGTCTCCAGCCTCTTATTTAGTTTGATCTTAAACTAGACACCAATAATTTACTTCCAAATTACAACGCCCTTTTTCTTCAATTGGATTAATTGATTCGACCCAAATGTCTGGATTTATACAGAAAGAAGTCAAGAACCCTTAATTATATTGCCAAACCCAATATTATCACATCCGCCTAATTCTCTCAGCTTAATGGACGCAGAGACACTTACGAGCGAAGTAGCGATAGGGGTACCAGCTGGAGCGACCGGCTTAGGCGGAACTGGAGGTGCTTCAGGAATATTTCCGGCGACGACGGTAGCCTCGCAATCAGCACACGTCATGCCCACATTTTTCGAAAGTAAAGAGCTTCCAGAGCCATTATTGCTGCTTGACTTGATCAAAAAAATCACCCGCGGCGGAGTGGACCTGATTGAAGGCTGCACAACAGGGGAAAACTTCACAATTGGCTCCGACTTGAGATTGAATTTGAGAGCACCAATGATACTGGAAGAGCAACTCAACAACACAGTGGGAGACATTTGAAAACAGCAGGAGCGGAGACACTGAACTTTCTGCTCCTAAGAGGCTAAGAGCATCGGCCTTTCTATCCCTAAGTTTGCAAAGCCACCTCAATAAAAATCGAGAGGAACAAAAAAATCAAGCCAATTTCTGTGGCACTCAGCACCGATATATGAATTTCTTTTTTTCCTTTTGTTTTTAAAAAATGATAATAATTTTTTTATTTTTGATCCGATTTTTATATAATTTATATCAACATTTTATATTTTTCATGATCTTTCAAATGAGACCAATATTGCTTATGTAATTTTAAGAAATTATCGAACTATTATATTAATGAGTATTGGATTATAAGGAAAATCGAACTAAATTGAATACAGAAAAATAATCGTGTAAATCACAATTTATCTTAAAATTGTGTATATAAAAAAATTATTTTATTATGTATTTATACATGTGAGTTACATATTTTTATACGTAAAGTTACATATTTGTACAAGTAAAGTTACATATTTATACACACGAGTTGCATTTGGCCTGTCTGAACGCGAGTTACATATTTTTACACATAAAGTTACATATTTTTACACTTAAAGTTACATATTTATACACGTGAGTTACATATTTTTACACGTAAAGTTACATATTTTTACACGTAAAGTTACATATTTATACACGCGAGTTACATATTTATACACACGAGTTGTATTTGACCTGTCTGAACGCGAGTTACATATTTTTACACGTAAAGTTACATATTTTTACACGTAGAGTTACATATTTTTACAAACGAGTTGCATTTGGCCTGACTGGACGTGAGTTACATATTTTTACACATAAAATTACATATTTTACATAGATTAATATAACAGTTCGATAATATGTTAAAATTACATAGGCAATATTGGTCTCATTTGAAAGATCATGAAAAATAGAAAATGTTGATATAACTTTTATAAAAATCGGATCAAAAATTAAAAAAGTTATTACTATTTTTTTAAAAAAAAAAGAAAAAATAATACCCAATGGATGCATGGTGCTCACCATGCACCGGTTGCACGGTATACTACCGAAGGTGTGGACCAATCAAAAAAATTCAATTGAATAAATTAAATGTAAATGAAATATGAAATATTGAGTTGGACCAATGAAATGCACCCTAGGTACCGTACCATTGTATTTTTGTTGGGTACAGTAGCAATCACCAAAAATCAATCTCCAACCCAAATGTCTATTCTAAAGTGTTGCTGAGTGTGATCTCAAACTGTCAATCGGAATTTCTGATTTCACCAAGAGCGTGAGACAGTATGACTAACCAAACTACTTATTTATCTACTTAAATTAAAACCTACGTAAAAAAATAGCGCCAATTGCAAAAGAAGTAGCGCCAAATAATTGAAGTTGTGGAGTTGTGCGCCAAAGAAATAGGACGCAATCGCGGAAATGGAGTGCTATCCTCTGCATAATATATAGAAACTGAAGTTTTCTGCAAAAAAAAACATCTTCTAGCTTCTTCTCTAAAATATTAGGTAATATTTCAGATTGTTGTTTGCTGTTAATTCTTCTTGAGCGCATTCGTCCTAACTCCCAACAGCTTCTCAAGCAACCGCCATTTTCTTCCTTCCCTAAGCGTTAGTTTTTTTTGGTTTCCATTTAATTTGATTATGGCCTCACTATACAGTCTGATATTTTAATGACTTGTGCATAGACATGGACTCGGGCCGGGCCTAGGCCCGGTCGGGCCGCTGGTTTGTAACTCATGGACCCGGGACCGGTCCGAGGTTTGGACGGGTCTGGTTCGGGCCGGGCCACCCGCCCGGGTCACGGGTCGGGCCACTCGCCGGGCCGGGTCGGGCCGGGCCGGTTAAAACCAATTTTTTTTATAATTTATACTTTATAGTTTTATACAAGTATTAAAAACAAACTTCAAGTGCATTTATTTGAAATGAAATATGAACTACATTTGACAATTAAGAGAAACATACAATAATACAATATGAAGTACATTTTGTAAAATAGTTTTATACATTTTGTAAATTGAAATATTAATCAATCGAAATCTTCAACATAGGTAGAGACACCTTCAGTTGTAGATTCATCCATAAAGTGTTGGGATGGGGTGATGTCAATTTCTTGAGCTCTACGGGCCGCCTTCAACCAATCGTGGTAGCATATAAGCATCTCAAAAGATTCTGCGCTCAACCTCGTTCTACATTGCGTTAGGACATTGCCGGCTAAACTAAATTCTTGTTCCACGGCAACTGTTGAAATCGGCATTGATAGCACTTGCTTAGCCATCTTTGCTAAAACTGGGAATATTCTTTCTTTTCCCTTCCACCAGTTTAGTACGTCAAAATCATTATCTTCTTCAAAATCAACATCATATGTTAAATACAAAGAAATCTCATTAATTGTGCTTTGTTGCGTATCGGGAGTTGATTTCGTTTTTTAATAAGATTGGCAAATGTAGATTTGAAAATTGATTTTCCTTTAGATGATGTTTGTGTCGGGGGAGGGGGCGCATTGCCATATTGTGCATGAAACTAATTAAATAATGCATAAAATATGTCACTAACCTCGTTGTATTCTTTTTTCGGATCAATTGGGTTGGCCTCATACATTGGCATTGGACCAAAAAAATCAACATAATAATAATTCAAACATTCTTCTAAAGAACCAAGTCTAAAACGAGTTATAGCAAATTACTATTTTAAAGTTTACTTTAATCGAATTACTAGTAATTAAATAATACTTTAATTCGAGTGAAATGTGAAGTAAAAAATGTGAATTGAACCAAAATTTATAGCAATACTATTGTTTAATAAATAGTCAAATTAACTAGTGAATTAACTAGTTTTGTGTACAACGTAACAATCAAATTAATATAGTTTAACTTTAACTATAATGAGAATTAACTAGTTTTTTAAACTAGAGTCAAAGGTAGCAATTAATAAAAAATTGTAATAAAGTAATTAACTACTTTAATGAAAAATTAAACAATTTGTGTGAAAACTAATTAACTAATCAACTAGTTTTTTGTACTACCTATTTTTTTTACTAACAGTCAAATTATTATAGTTTAACTTTAACTATAATGAGAATTAACTAATTTTTTTTCAAGTAATGTTAATACAAAATTAAACAAGTGTAAATAATAGAATGATTTCGTACCTCTTTCGGTCTTTCGGTCTTTCGGATGGGAGTAATAGAATGACTTCAAATTAATTGGATATAATTCCAACTATATTAATATATATAACAAATGTATAAGTAATATATAATTAGATAAGAAATATAAGTAATATAATGTATGTATTTATAAATTATAAGTAGATAATTAATATAAAGTAGATATATAAATATAATATATTGGAGAATAAGAGAATTAGAGAGTATAGAGTTAAAAGTATGATTTAGGAAGAATTGGAGAAGAGATATGGAAAAATGTTTAAGATTAGGAGTATTTATAAGTTTTTTACCCCACCCCCACCCCCCGGACCCCCCTGCAGCCCACCCAACGGCTATATAGCCATTTGGGTTGTCCCCAGCCCACCCCAACGGTCATCTTTGGCCCAAAAAATATATATTTTTAAAATAGCCGTTGTGACCCGGACCCGGGCCCGACCCGGCCGGGCCGGGTCACATTTTGAAGGAACCGTGCCCACCCCCGCTTCCCCCACCGGTTCGGGTCCACACCCGGTCCCGGGCCGCCAGACCGGGCCGGTCCCGGGCCGCCAGACCGGGCCGGTCTCGGGCCCGCACAGTACCGGGCCGGGTCACGGGCCGGGTGGCCCGAACCGAATCCATCCCTACTTGTGCATGTGTATAACGTGATCTAGAAAATAGGTCTAAGCCTAATTAGATGTAGAGCAATTGTTCTAATTTTGATGATATATTTTTTATGTTTTCCTTCAGACTTGATCTCTCTAAATATTTGCTCTATTATTTGATGTCTATGATTTTATTTTGTGCTTGGGATTTTATCAAGCCTGATTTGCCTGTGTGTGATTAAAGAATCGGTTTTAGTAAATTGTATAAAGCAGACTTTGTAGTCTGAAATATTCCTGCAGTAGGTAGATCTATTTTATCATGTCTAAACCACATCATATACGTAGTATATGCAACAACTCAAGCTTCATATGTTTAAATCATTCTGACAACCAAAGATATATTGATTTATTTGCATAAATTGATAACTTGTATGAGTATCATCATTATCAAGGGCTGCAACAAAGGAGAACTAATTGTTAGTTATCTAATTGTGCTTCTTAACTATTACTATACTATTCCTATACACAGACTGACAGACATATATGTTGAAATACCATTAAATTTATATCCAAGGATTGAATTTCGATTACATGAAGTGGACAAAGATGCAGGCCTGATACAAATTCAGAATTAAAACATTGGATGTAATTGAATTCAGTCCATATGTTTTAGGGTGCTAGATTATTATTGTTTGTGAAAAGTATATGATTTGGTTAATGCATCTTCGTAATGAACTTTCATACATATGGACTTTACATCTCACTCTTCTCACCGTGAACGTCATGAGTATAATACTGAAGCTATTGACCCCAATCCTCAGCATGGTAACATTACATAAATACAGTCACTACTTCCCCTGTCAAATCCGAGCCACTTTGGTCCATCAAACTTAGCTGGTCATCCTAGTTTTTTATGAATACTTCCTTTCCTTCTCATGCCCACTCACCCTATGGATACGGTTTCCCTTTTCAAGATTTGTCACACTCTTCTAATATCTCATTTGAAAACCCAGTTCCTAAAACAAGTAGAGGACCACAGAAAGGTGATAATGGCAAACAAAAAACAAGTACCTCTCAAACTGCTGGAAGTAACAAAAATTGGAGCAAAGATGAAGAAGTTACACTAACAAAGGCATGGTTTTATGTTGCTGTTGATGCCGATGTTGGCAACAATCAGAAAATTTCTAATATGTGGAAACGCATTGCACAAATTTGGAGGGAGAAGATGGAAACCTATGATGAGTCTTGCACAACAAATAGCTTACAATGTCATTGGTGTAAAATCCTAGCTGCAGTGAATAAGTTTCATGCATTGTATGAACGACTATTAACAAATCCCAAGAGTGGTGCGAGCCAAGAAGATATGGTAGTTTCCACTATTTTACATTCTCATCATTTTAATTTCATTCTATTTTTAACATCGTATCTTTTTAGTGTGTTTTGGATATGTAAGTCATTCAAATAACTAACTTCCTCATTTTGTTAATTATGTTGCATTTTTAGAGACGAGAAGCAATGCGTATGTTTGAAGATATTAATGATGGTCAATCTTTCAAGTATGAGCATTGTTGGGAGATCATGAAAACAAATCTCAAATGGTGTACAAAAGAGGTCACCAGGACAAAAGAATTGTCCAAGCAAAGGGCTGCTTCTGATACAGATGTTGACACCAAGGTACCATCTACTATACCATTGACTACTGCTAATAAAGAACATGATTGTATCAACATAGATGCTCCTAGTGCTATTAACGGCAGTGATGTTGAGCGCCCTCAGGGAAGAAAGGGAACTAAAGAGAAAAAAGGGAAACTGAATGAAGAAAAAGGTGTGGTTGATGCATTGAATAAGCTACAAACTATTCTTGAAAAACAAATCAGCGTTAGTGAGGAAGAGCTCAAGATGAAGAGGGAAAAGAACATCAAAGACTTTGATCTGAAAGAAAAAATAATGAAAAAAGAAGTGGAGTTAAAAGAGAACGCTCATAAATTAAAAGAGAATGCTAAGAAATTAAAAGAGAAAGATCAGCAGTTAAAAGAGAATGACCAGAAGTTAAAGGAGAAAGCTCAAAGAGAAAAGACCATAAACGTATTTTAAATCAAGATATCAACAAACTTCCATTAGGCATGAGAGAGACATTCAAGTCTCAAGTAATAAAAGAATGGGAAAATAATGGACTTTTTGGTCATGGTATGTTTCCTGTACCATTTTGTTTATTTATAATTACAATGTTAGTGAAAACTAATAATTCTCTTTATAACTAAGACTACCTTAATTCTTTTTGCAGGTGCCATTTAGAGTCAATGACCATTTATTGATGAAGTTGATGCAGTTCCCTTATAAGCAGTAACTTCTAGTGGTTTGACTTGGTGGGGAATACCTTCGGGCCACCACCGAAAAGTGGGGGAGCTGGCAAGAAATGACTACAGGACATGAAAGTACATATTAGGTTTTGGGCAAGAACTGTTGCATCAAATGTGCGCTAGCAGTGCTAATTTTCATCATCAAAAAACTTAACTCCTATCAATTATTTCATGTTAATTTTCTGTCCTCAGACATTGTTGTACCATATTGTATATCCACAGTACATTTGAGTTCTCTATTCAAATATGTGTACTTAGCTTTTCAGAACAAAAAGAAAAATATCAATATGGTAAAACCTAATAAACAAACCCAGAAATATGCTGAAAATGTTATCACCAATGAGAAATAATTAAGCACTAACATTCTGTTCTATCAATATGTATGACAGATGAAAGTAAAAGGAAAAACATTTGAATATGAGTCTTAGTGTTAAACGTTACATTATTCCGACAAGCTTACTAGGAAGAAGCATTATTTAGCAGGCTAAAATACGAATACAAGTCTTTCTTGCATTTTAAGGTTTTTTATTACAAATATCGTAACCTTAAATTCCTATATAAAATCATGTTGCTTGTTGACCACCATATAACTCCCATATGTGATTGATGAGGTCATTTTTAAAATCCTTGTGCACTCTTGTCTTGAACCTGTTTCATTCTTTGAATCATTTCGGAGACAATAAAATTATAATCATGCTCCAACTCTACAGCTTCAGCCCTTTCATCTTTGTGTGGTTTCCAATCTTCAGGGTTTCATACCTTGGCTGCACTCACTCTTGATAATCATATTGTGCAAGATGATACAAGCCTTCATTATATTTCCTAGATCTTTTTCTTTCCACATGCGTGCGGGACCTTTAACAATATGCCACTGACTTTGCAAAACTCCAAAAGTCCGCTCCACGTCCTTTCTTGTAGCTTCTTGGCGCTCAGAAAATATTTTCTCTTTAAGAGAAGAGGGTTGAGAAATAGATTGAATTAAAGTGGCATATTTTGGGTAAATTCCATCAGTCAGATAATACCGCATATTATAATGGTGGCCTTGGACTTCATAGCTACATGGTGGTGTAACTCCATTAATAATATCGTCAAATAGTGGAGATCTATCCAATACAGTGATATCATTATTAGTACCAGCCATACCGAAGGACGCGTGCCAAATCTATAAATTCTTTGAGGCTACAATCTCTAAAATGAGAGTAGGAACCTGTTTAAATCCATTAGTGTGTGTGCCATGCCAAGCCATTGGACAATTTTTCCAATGCCAATGCATACGGTCAAGACTCCCAAGCATTCCTGGAAACCCTCGTTCCTCTCCTTCTTGAAGCAATTTGGAGATGTCATTGTTATCGGGTTTTCTCAAATATTGCTGCCCAAAAATCCCTATCACAGCATCACAAAAATGCATAAGACTTTCGATTGCAGTGCTTTCGCCAATTTGAACATATTCATCCAAAATATCAGCTGGACAGCCATATGCAAGCATCCTCACTGCAGCTATCATTTTCTGTAAAGGGCTTAATCCTTCTTTTCCAGTAGCATCAAACTTTAAAGAGAAGTAACTTTCATATTTTTCAATTTCTTTCAAAATGTGTGTAAATAAATGCACATCCATTCGAAACCGACGTCGAAAATGCTCAGTTGTATACTTGGAGTTCTCACCTTTAAAATAGTCATTAATAATTACATCATGACGTTTCTTTCTATCTCGGTGAATATAACGTCTACCACTTATTGAACCCCCATGAACATGCCTCTTTCCACCAAACATTGCTGAAACTATCACAGGAACATGGATAGTCATAGTATCAACCAAATCACGAGAGATTTTAAAGCACTATCATCATCTGATGGTTCATCAAATATCTGTTTTGTCAATGAGAGGTCTTCATTGTCAGATGATGAACTATCATAGCTACTTTCAGATTGAGAAAGAGACATAGTTGTACTGATATTTGCTTAACCTGCAAACCATAAAAAGTATAAGACTATGCAAAAGGGGACTAATCACAATGTTCTCTGTTCAGATTTTTTTTAGTTTAGAGTACGTGTTTCTCAATATATTTTTTCCTTGTTATGTGGCTGCCATATAGAGCGGAAAGCATGTTGAGATAATTGCTATAAAAAATCCAGAAAACCTATAAACATCAATATGCAGGGGCGGATACAGCTATGGTCCAGGGAGGGCCTAGGCCCATGCTAAAAAAAGTATGTATATATATGTATTTTAATATATTTAGTGTTGTGTAGATTGAAATGGTATAAAAATAAAAACAGTCAAAAGGTTAACAAAAGTGAAGATGGTGATATGGTAGTATACTATGTCCACTCCGGTGGAGTATATGGACGTTCTGGGTTCGATTCCCATTGACCAAGATTCTTTCTGAATTCTACAATTTTGCAATGGAGCGCATATGTTTAAAAATTTCAATTCTCTTTTCCTAAATATCTTTAAGCCCCCATTGACCATATTTTTTTCTGAGTTCTACAATTTTGCAATGGAGAGCATTTGTTTAAAAATTTCAATTCTCTTTTCCTAAATATCTTTAAGTCACACTGTGACCTTGAAAAATAAATTATTTCAACTCATTGGGTTTGGAGGTGAAAATTAGTTCAATACTTATGGGCTTGAGGTGTTTATGTAATTGATTTTGACAAAAAATCTTATTCTCATAGTATTTATTTTTTTCTTAGACATTTATGTTGTAACATATGTTATTTTACACATGAAAATAAGTTTTATTAAATATAGACTACATCTATTCTTAAGTAAATGCAACAATACACTTGTCACATTTGTTGTTGCACAACTTTGACCAGTAATATACTCCATATATTATTCTCTATTAGTAAAAAAAATAAAAAAATAAGATTTTGAAAATTTACAACTAGACAAGTTTAACAATATTTTAAAAAAAGTTATTAATTCATTAAAAAATAGTGTAATTAAAATATTATATATGAATAATGTAAAATTCAACATGTTGCATTTATTTAAGAACATAAGTAATTATTTAAAGGAATACTATATTTTAACACTTCAATTAAATTTGGCCCCTGCTGAACACAAACGCTAGATCCGCCCCTGTCAATATGGAATGAATTGTAGTAAACATATTTCACTTATTGAGATTAATCATTTGTCTTGTTGACATTCATCTCTAGAATCATTAAACAAAGAGATACAAAGAGAAATAAAATTCAAGCACCTTAGAAAGAATTTGAGCTGGCATTGTATGTTGTAACTAACGAGTGAATATTATAGTCCATGTGCTACATGAGAAAAAGCTTTAAAGAGACAATATATCAAACACTTGAAGTGCAAATCAGACTTTCATTTTTGAAATGTCTTTGAGGAGCACATTGATAATTCATATTACTACCCCGAAGGTACATCCCACAACTAACTTGTGAAAATAGATAAAGTGCAAATATTATTCCATTTAATCGTATAGGATTCTACATACCTGTCCTAAGTTTTCTTCAATATGCGGCCAACCGTGTTCTGAATAACGAAGTTACGCATAAACTTGCCTTGCATAAGCTTCCCGTCGTAAGGAAGGATGGAAGATGGATGATTGTGAAAAAATGAAAAAGTTTATTGAAGGGATAAATAAATGAAAAGTCACAGTACGATTGGAGAAGAAAATTTAATAGCAAACAACAATATGCAATATTACCTGATATTTCAGAGAAGCTAGAAGATGATTTTTTTTGCATAAAACTTCAGTTTCTATATATTACGCAGAGGATAGCACTCCATTTCAGCGACTGCGTCCTATTTCTTTGGCGCAAAACTCCACAACTTCAAGTGTTTGGCGCTACTTCTTTGGCAATTGGGGCTTATTTTTTTAAGTAGGTTTTAATTTAAGTAGGTTTGAAAAGTCACAGTAGGGTTGGAGTAGGAAATTTAGATTAACTGTCTGGCAGGCTAAGTCAGCCTCACATCCGGACTAATTGCCTGTTTTTATGATAATGTGTCCACATTTATAGCTCTGAAACTCACATCTCTATTGGAGATGCTCTAATATCGCAGTGCCAGTCTTTCTTCAGTCCCTTCAATGCCTAAAGATGATGAGATGAGGTTTGGGATTTGAGTGTCAGAAAATTACTGTAAAAATGTACCACAAAAAAAAGATCACACCTCATATATCGTTAGGGCCTCCAATATGGGAGCATGTAAATTGGACTCCACCTCCCATCTTCTTCAACACTCTTTCGTCTAGGTAAATCAAATCTCTATTTCATCTCATTTTTCAAGTTAGGGTTTAGAATGTATAAATTTCGAATTCGTAAATTAGGAATTGATTTGTGAATTGATTTGTTGTGTAATGTGGATATGTATGAAATGATGAATTTAATTGTTGAATTTAATGTATTATTTTGATTTTGTTGTGGATTTGTTGTGTAATGTGAATTTTAATGTAATATTTTGCATTTTTTGGAAAATGTAACATTTTGATTTTGTTAAGTGTAATTATATCATATAGGATTTGCTTAAATATGAGAGTTTTTTTAATATGTTGTTATGTCTATAAAATGTTGAATCTGGGTGTATATATTGTGTATATTAATGTGTACTCATCACTTGTCGTCATGTATTGTTATTAGAATATGGATATCTCAAACTTCCCAATAGTGTGTCATTGGGATTGTAATTGTTTCTCGTGGTGCATGTATGTTAGAGTTGCTGCAAAAAATATATGTACCTACACATATTCCTCCAAGCCATTACTTGGAAGTGCAAGTGAAATATTCCATTCACGTGGGATCATACATGCTAATGCCACTTGATGATGCGGAAGCTGTCACGAGAATGTGGACGATAGTTCAGATGATGACTATGTCCACAATGGAGATACACCTTGCAGAATCCATAAGTGATGCTTCCATAACTCTGCCAACATCAAATGTTATATCTGGGTATGGTGTTAATGCAGCGGCCTCCCCAAATGAGCCTATTTTGAACATGGTTGTAGGGGAGGATGAGAGGTATTTTCACAATGGTGCATCCTTTTTGGATGGTCATGGAAGTGATCAAGTGATGATGATGCTGATGAAAACATCAATGATGATGAAATGGCATAATCATATGAAGAAGAGGGTGATACTATGAGCGCAACTGCCTCGTCTAGTCACTATACTAGATTATATGATCTCCCATCCGACTTTGATGATGCGTGGAGGAGTGGAACATGTGTGAACAGGTTTACACCAGAGGACGAGTTTGAGGTTGGTCAGTAGTTTAATAACAAAGAACAACTCATCAAACGCAGCCAATATTTTCGTATGCTGGAGTCAGATAAATATAAATGGGTTGCAGAGTGCAAAAGAAAAAAAAGAATGTGATTGCACTTGGAGAATACGGGCCACAAAGAAACAGGCAAGCCTTGACATGTTCACAGTTGTGCGTTACCTTGGACCTCATTGTGCTACTTGTGTTGGCAACAGTGACAGTAATGATCATGTGGCGATTACTTCATATTTTATTGCCAAAGATGTAATTGACCTTCTTCGCGCTGATCCATCCGTTAAAGTGCATACTATTATTGAGTTGATGAAGGAAAAATATGGTTATAGGGTTTCGTACAGACGAACATGGTTGGGCAATCAAAAAGCCATTGCTGAATTTTTTCGAGGTTGGAAGAAGTCATACTCTAAAAAGCCCCATTTCATGGCAGTACTCCAACATTCCAACCCAGGGACAATTGTGCATTGGTACCCACCCCTTAAAGGCCCCATTGAGTGTGTCCACTTTCAGAGAGTCTTCTTGGCATTCAAGCCTTCTATTCATGGTTTTAAGCATTGTCGACCAATATTGACTATTGATGGCACACATCCGTATGGGAAATACAAGGGTACATTACTCGTGGCTATGGGTAGTGATGCAAACAATCAATTTTTTCTTGTGGACTGGCCTTTACAATATGTGAATTAGAGAATGGGGAGAGTTGGCCATGTTTTATGACATGCATTCAGGCATTTGTAACCAACAAGGAATTATGTTTCATTTCTAATCGGCATCCAGGTATTATAAAGGTAGTGAATGAGGTGCAGAGTGGTTGGGAGGAGCCCTTTGCGCACCACAAGCTATGTATGCTCCATCTTGCATCGAATGTGCACATCCATTTCAAAGACATTCACATCAAAAATCTGTTTGTTTGGACCGCACGACAACATAAAAAAATTGATGGTGGGTTCAACGAGATTGGCGAAATGCAGGTGGAGGCGTGACAATTTCCGGGGAACATTCCCTTGGAAAAGCGGTCATTACACCATGGTGGGGGTACAGATATGCTACCACAAATTCTAATATGGATGAGATTTTCAACAGAGCGATGAAAAGTGCCCGATACTTGCCCATCACAGCTTTGGTTCAGGTTTTCTCTTACCACGTCGATGCATATTTTGTGGACATACGTGAAAGTAGTAAAAGAAGAGTGACAGAAGGCCATGAGTACTCGCCACACATAACAGATATCATTGAGAAGAATAAGGACAAGGCGAAACACCACAGTGTCACTGCATTTGATATAGGCCATTGGTTATATCAAGTGGGAACGAGGTGTGGCGGCCGAACGTTGGGAAAGGGTAAGAAAAAGCAAATCGTTAATTTGATGAGGCGTACTTGTAGTTGTAAGAAGGTGGAAATATATAAGATTCTGTAGCTGTGTGTAGGCAATGTAGTTTGTCTTATCACACTTTTGTAATACACCACTTCATATCAAAGAGTTTTCAAATCCATTCCCGACCATGCTTATTGGCCGACTTACACTGGATCACGAATTGTGTCCGATCCATCCATGCTTCGTGCAAAGGGACGATCAAAGTCCACACGAATTAAGAATGAGATGGATAAGGTGGAAGATGAACTGTTAGATGTGGAATTTGTAAACAAATCGACCGTAATAGGGCCACATGTGCGAAAAGATCTTCAGGAGATGATGGGGGTCCACTGAGTAAGGTTTTAACTCTTAAAATCCACAACTCCTACTAATATGAAATAAAAAAGAGTAATTGATGTAAAATTATTAATTAATGACTAACACACGTTTTCATTTATTGTAGGCACTATGGAGGTGTAAGTGGATCCAGGGCCGATTGATCATTCTGTCCTGACATTGCAGGCCACACATAGGACTGAGGACGTGTGGTGCGACCTTGATGTGCAGGTTGATACGTGTCGAGAGCACCTTCGTAGTTTATTCCAAGTGCAGGTGGACGATAGAGTGTTAGCGTATGTTAGAGCATCGATTTTTTTTGTGTTCACATATTGATGTCTACTGTCCCACTTGATAGAGCTCTAGTCAGTGTAGTCACTGCTCTTCTTGAGCGTTGGAGGCAGAAGACGCACACATTTCACCTTTCAGTTGGTGAGGTGACAATGACCTTGGGGGATGTGGCTGTACTGACTGGCTTCAGGTCCATGGGAGAGCAGTTACAGGTATTGCATGTCGACCATGAGTTGAGGATGTGGAGCGATTGTTGGTTGTTCGCCCCCTTCTCCGGGCAGACATTTTTGGGTCATCTATGAAGATGCCATGGCTGAGGGAGCATTTCAAGATTAATTAAACACAGTCAGAGTCACACGAATAAAAATGAGTAGGGTAATGAGGTCCTTGAATGGGTAGGGATAGGCGGTGGGCAGGTGGTAGGGGGTGGGACATCACGTATTATATACTCGTGTATACATGAATGATTGTGTATCTATATATGTATACAATTATTTTGGATATTTTTATGTTAAATGGTATTTTAAATCCTGTGAAATAGACACGAGTTTATATTAGTGTTTATTTTATTCGTCACTTATTAACGCAAATCTGATGTACTCATGTACTCAAGGTTGAAGTAAATGCCTATGTATAGTACTTGCTCTTGGGGGAAAAAGCGTACTGCCATATACATAGCCCGTTTGGCAGCATGAAAATTGGCTGTTCTGGCTGATTCTGCTGAAATTTATGAAGTTCTGGTTGAAGTGGCTGCATTGGCTGATTCTGCTGATACAAGAAAAAAATATTTTTAAAATATATTTTATTAATAAAATAAAGAAAAAATTATATGTAAAGATAGCTAAAATAGTCATCTACAGTAACTTCAGCCAATACAGCCAGAAAAGTAACATCAACCTTACTTTTTCGGCTTATTACACAATTCAGCGCGCAAAAGCAAAATTCACCGCGCGAAAGTAAAATTTACGTGTTTGGTAAAAAAGATGACTGATAAGCCTGATAAGCCGAAAATGAGAGTGGCCAAACGGCCTCTAAATGGGTCTCCATTGTTGTCTTTCCCGCCTAGTTAAAAACTTCCCAAGCTCCCGAATTTATCCAATGAATCCCTTTCCCAGTCTCCGTAACGGCAACCACCGTCTACTTGGAGCACAATGCAACCGCACTATTCACACATTTGACCTGTCGTTCCATGAACAACCACTCAACCTCCATCCTGGCAACCAAAATCCAGGTTCCAAAGTTGCCAAAACCATTGATGAAACGGAAAAGATCTGCAAGCTAGCACTAAACCATCGCACATCGCAGACAGAGTTTTACCGTAACCTGAACTCTGCCTCTGTGGTTCCGTCTCCGGCATTGGTCACTGATGTTCTCAAAAAGCTCAGCAACTCCGGCGTTCTTGCGTTTTGGTTCTTCCGGTGGGCCGAGAAGAAGAGCGGGTTCCAGCATACTGCTGAGAGCTACAATTCTTTGATCGAAGCTCTGGGTAAGATCAGACAGTTCGCGCTGTTATGGAGATTGGTTGATGAAATGAAGAAGAAAAGGCTGGTATCAAAAGACACATTTGCCCTAATATCCAGGAGATACGCGAGGGCTAGGCGGGTGAAGGATGCCATAAACGCGTTTGAGAAGATGGGGATGTATGGGATGAAGGCTGATCTACAGGACTTCAACAGATTGTTAGACACTCTGTGCAAATCTAGGGCTGTCGGGACTGCACACCAGGTGTTCGACGAATGGAAGCACAGAAGGTTCAAACCAGATGTTAAAACCTACACCATACTCCTAGAAGGGTTCGGTGAAGAAAGGAACATGCTGATGTTGAATGAAGTGTACCGTGAAATGTGTGGTGCTGGCTTTGAGCCAGATGCTGTGAGCTATGGGATCATCATCCATGCTCACTGCAAGGGTAGGGAGTACAATAAGGCTGTGGAGATGTTTCATGAAATGCAAAGGAGGAACGTCGAACCAACGCCTCATATTTATTGCACCCTGATCAACGGGCTGGGATCAGCAAAGATGTTGACAGAAGCTCTCGATTTTTTTAACATATGCAAGAGTAGTGGCTGTGTGCTTGAGTTGGCTACATTGAATGCTGTGGTTGGAGCTTATTGTCATTCGTCGCGAATGGATGATGCATATAGGACAATTGATGAGATGAGAAGAAGTGGGATCGGCCCAAATGCTCGAACATATGATATAATTCTTCGTCATCTGATAAATGCACAAAGGACAGAAGACACTTACTCAGTTTTCCAGAAAATGGAAAAGGATCCCGTTTGTGAGCCGACTGTCAGTGCGTACGAGGCTATAGTGAGGATGTTCTGTTCCAAGGATCGCATAGATATGGCTTTGAGAACGTGGGATAAGATGAAGGGTAGAGGGGTGCTTCCAACTATGCATATGTTCTCAACGCTAATCAACAGCCTCTGCCATGAGAATAAGTTGAACTGTGCCTGCAAATACTTTCAAGAAATGGTTGATTTGGGGATTAGGCCTCCAAGGGCGTTGTTCAGTAATCTGAAACACGCTCTCCTGGAAGACGGACAAAAAGATACAGTTATTGCACTGGCTGAGAAAATAGAGACACTGAGGAAAACTCCTATGGTCGGATAAATAGCTATTCTTTTCTTTTAAGTTATTAAATTTAATAGGAACAACACAAGAGTGGTATTCTTTCGGTCTGGGATCTTCTGAGGCTCTAGTCTGGAATGACCGGTCGTCTCTTGCAACTTTGTAAGTGTGCTAAGGTCCCCATGTTATATGCTCCGTATATTTTTCTGGAATGAGCGGGGAAAATGAACAGTGTTCCCGTCTAAATAATGGGTAATAAAATGGATGAGATCCCTAGCACACACAGTTTGTACCTTCAGTGGTTGTCCAATTATCCCTTTTAAATTTTAATGAACATTGAACAGTTCAAAAGGCATGAACTAACATGCTAGGCGGCAGAGAAAAGTATATATGTGGGGTCCAGCCAATTGAAATTCACAATTTTTTAATAAATGTTATAAAAAAAAATTCCTCCAAATTTACAAAAATTATATCAAATTTTATAATTTTTTTATCTTTCATATGACCCACATAATGCATATATAAAGTTAAAAAATTAAATTTCAACTTTTAAAAATTTTCAGGTTCAGTTTTTTTTAAAAATAAATCTAAGTGCTTAAATGAAAACATTGCGATTAAAATATATTTAGCTCATTTGTTAGCACTGAAAGGCCTAATTATGCTTAGAAAGATATTTCACAGTTGCAATCACCCTAAACAACAATTGCCTCCAAAACTCTTTTTCTTTCAAAAGTTGATCATGAGTTACTTTATCAATTGTCTCATTTTTTTGTAATCTAAGCCTCAACTCTACCCAACTCCTCATGTTACTCATATGTTCCACACATGTTTCATGTTCTCTAAGTATAGCACTAAGATGCCCCCAATCATCAAAACTCGTGTTAGCTAAAGAACCTTTGCCTACACCTTTTCTAAAAATCTTACAACAGAAGCAAAATACCCTATAAAGCTCCTTTGAATAAACAAGTCAGTCTCAATCACATTTCTCTCCATTAGACAAACTTCTAGTGTAAAAACCTGATGAGAATCTTCTAGAGAATTTATCTTTAGGCCCTTCCACAAAATTTAAATCTCTTTTAGGACCATTCTCTACCAAAGTGTCTGTCAAATTTGAATCTAGAGCATCCCAGTTTCTTGGATCATATATGTCAAATAAAGCAGAATTATTTGGCCTATCATCTAAAACATCAATTCTGTGGTCCTCTTTATCAGAATTCTCAGCCATTTCGTTAACACATTGATCAGGTATTTCAACATTATTTTCAACATTCACTTCTTGTTGTTCACCCTCTTGAACATCTCTAACTTCTTTAATAATATACTTATCAAGAGCTCCTTTTTGAGATTGGGTTAACTCCTCAAGTCTTCTTTTCCTTTGACGCTTTTCATGACCGGATTGGTATTTATATGGAAACATAATTATTACCAATTATTGAAATTCTCCTATAATCCTGTACATGTTTATAAATTTTAAATTAATATTCAATTTAAAATTAGGGTGAAAGCATGAATGACTATACTAGTGTATAATTATAATTTATCAACCTCAAGTTACCAATTTATCAACCTCAAGTTATCAATTTTAATTGCTAAACACATTTACAAAATTACACATTTATTATCAATTCAAATAATGATTTACTTTAAATGCAAAAAATCAACAAATAACAACAACACAACAATTCAACAAACATTAAATCTGAAAATAAACAAATTACAAGAATTCAACAAACAATTCATCAATTCAAATATTCAATAAATCGAAAGTTCACAAGAATTAGCAAATTAGCAACTAAATGAATAAAAGAATTAGCAAATTAGCAACTGACCGGAAGGAGGGCGTCTGAGGGAGGCCGGAGGGCGGCGGAGGCGGTCGGCTGCGGGCTGCTGCGGAGTGAGGTGTGCGTTCAACGTTCGAGTCGTGGAGAGCAGGAGAGGCCCGAGGCCCGAGGGGATGTCGGACTGCGCAGGGGATTTGGGGACGTCAGTTGTGGAGAGGCGATGTGCGTTAGAGTCCTGGAGTCGTCGCCTCGTCGGTTGTGGTCCTGCCGTCCTGTGGAGAGGCGGTGTGCGCAGGGGACGTCGATTTCACGCTTTGTCGTGAAGAGCAGCGAGCAGCTGAGCAGGAGAGAGGGGATTTGCGGATTTGGGGCCGGGGGGAAGTGATTTGGGCTAAAAACTTATGGGCTGGGGGTAATACTAATTTTTTTTGGGCCCTCCAAAATACCGGGCCCTGTGCGGTTGGGCTGGACAGACAGGCCCAGGGCCGGCCCTGCTTGTAAGTGTGCTAAGGTCCCCATGTTATATGCTCCGTATATTTTTGTAATCTTACTATATACAAAAGGGAATGGGGAAAATGAACAGTGTTCCCGTCTAAATAATGGGTAATAAAATGGATGGGATCCCTAGCACACACCGTTTGTACCCTTCCGTGGTTGTCCAATTGTCCCTTTTAAATTTTAATGATCATTGAACAGTTCAAAAGGCATGAACTAACATGCTAGGCGGCAGAGAAAAGTATATATGTGGGGCCCAGCCAAATGAAATTCACAATTTTTTAATAAATGTTATAATTTTATTTCCTCCAAATTTACAAAATTTATATCAAATTTTATAATTTTTTATGATCTTTCATATGACCCACGTAGTGCATATATAAAGTTAAAAAATTAAATTTCAACTTTTAAAAATTTTCAGGTTCAGTTTTTTTAAATAAATCTAAGTGCTTAAATGAAAACATTGCGATTAAAATATATTGAGCTCATTTGTTAGCACTGAAATTGATTTAATCAAGTAAATTGACTGAGTGAATATGAATGGCACAAAAAGAGTTTACAAAATTAGGTTTGACATAATTTAAAATGTGATTGAAAAAGTAAAAATTGTAGTTGAGATTTGTATATAATAAAATTAAATATTGTAGACCATATATTTATTTCAAAAAATGAAATGTGACACTTATTTTGTGACAAGCCAAAACAGAAAGCAAAAGTGGTAAAATGGGACAGAGGGAGTAACGTAGTATATATATGTAATATGTGTGTCGGCGCGCTCACACACACATATGTGTGTATTACCTAACTGTCACATTTGTTATACTCCCTCCGTTCCTAATGATTTTGCCAAGTTTGACCGGCACGAGGAATAATAAAGTAAAAACTGTGTGATTGAGGTTTGTGTAATGGAGAGAGAATGAAATGGAATCACAAATTATTTACTTAAAAGAGAAAGTGACAAAGTTAGTGAGACGTCCATAAAAGTAAAGTTGGCAAAGTTATAAGGGATGGAGAGAGTATAGAATATGATTATAGGATTTGAAAATAGAGTTAAAGAATTACTTTTAGTTTATATTTTATTTTTTATTTTGTACTTACTGCATAGTATAAGTATTTAAAATTTATATTTTTTGTTTTCAACTTTTATTTTATTTTATATTTGTATTTTTATTTTTTATTTTTATTTTTTCATACTTTTGATACTTTTGGCACGGTGGTGATAGACCGTACTATTAACTGCAAAAAGTGATTTTTATCGAATTTAAGGTGCCAGTTAAAGCTTTTTTTAATTGAAACGGCAAGTTGGCCATTTTGGACGGGTAGAGAGCCTTATATGACCCTTTAGCCATAAAACGGTAGACACACTCACAATTTAATTATTATTTTTGTTTGTTTAAGTGTAACTCGGAGCTTATAAACGTAACTGCTTTTATAATGTGTGCTGACGTTATATATGTTTTTATATGAAATACATTTTGTATGAAAATAGAGCACATCAAAGATAAAATGCACACATTAGGCCAAAAGTTGTATATGGAGTACTACATATCTGATTTGAGAAATCAAGAACTATGATTCCTGAGATAGATGTACTTATGTGATATTGCTTGAGATATCTTTAATCTATGCATACAATTAAACTCAACTTGATTTACTCTAATAACGGATAAAAAACTCATAATAAAATTTAGATTTTCAAATTTCTAAAAAGGCGGAGAAGTACCTTTTGAGATTTTTTGCAATCTCTTTAATTACAATTTGAAACATATATCTTTATTCAAATATAGTTTTTTTCCTTTTATGGCAAAGAATCAATAGTTCATAATATTTTTATTTTTTCGGGCACAACTTAAAACCACACAATACCACTTTTTAAGTTACGTGTCAAGTCAAAATAAGAATTAATTATGTCATGAAGAGAATAATATTTTCACATTTACAATTTATAAAAACTCAATAGTTTTTCACTCGTGCATCACACGGGTGAGAAATTAGTACACAATATATTACGTAGTATTGTTTGACTAGGCGAGCCGTATTGGGAGTGGGGATCAAATCAGAATGAAATTGGATAAAAACAAAGCAGACTATTACGGATTGTACATTTGTACTATACCAAACTAGTCCATGAAAAATATGAGGATATAATGATTCTTAGTTCTCTGTCTCATTTTAGTTAGTCATCTTTGACTTTTCAATTAAAATGATAAACTTTAACTAATTATTTTAACTCATTCGTAGTATAGTTATGCAAAATTTAATTAATATTACTCCGTCCCAATGGACTTTGCACTCTTGGAATTAGATGAGAAATAAGAATAGTAAAAATTGTGTGGTTGAAGTTTGTGCAGAGGGAGAGAAATGAGCAGAACCACAAAATAATTACTTTAATGGGAAAGTGGCAAAGTTTTTTGGGACAACAAAAAAGAAAAGTTGGCAAAGTCCAATGGGATGGAGAGAGTAGTTTTATGCTTTTACGATAATATTTTTAATAAAGAATATTTTCATATCATTTTCATATTATCAATATTTTTGTTTATAAATATATAATCGGTCAAAGTCAGACACCATTAACTTGAAAATCAAGTTTGGCTAACTAAAATGGGATGGAGGGAGTATGTGGGAAAATGATTTTAACTATGACCCATCAATAAATAATAATACACAGTAATACACACAATAGAAGAAAAAAACCTATTCCATACATAATAAAAATAATAATACAAAGTCATTTTTATTATCAATGATGTTTTTACTTGAACTGTTTTCGGTCGTAGATCAGATTAGACTTAAACACACCGAACCAGATCAGTGCAGACCAGATCAGACTAGACCATACTTACTTGTTATAAAATACACAGAGATCAGACATTTACAAGACCAGACCAGACCGATTCAGATTAGACCAGACTTAACCGGATCATCAAATTTCAGTCCAAGACTCCAAGTAAAAACATCCCAAATCCTTATACGTAACCAATTACAAATGTCACTAAACCGTCTAATAAGCTTTATTTGATGGTTTAATATAACTTTTTATTGACCTAATTGATCATATTTGACTACAAAATGATT